CACCAATTGATACAAAAGTGGTTTGAACCTTATTGTTTCAGCATCCAGAGTATAGAACTGCACTCCTGCTTACATTATATTTTAGCTGCCACCTATCAGCATAGATTTAAACAACATCATGAAGATTTTGCCGGCCTTTATAAGAGACAGTCAACAAAGTAGTGTCGTCAGCATTAATTATGGTGGGCCGTCATGTCGCTGTAGATAGCAAATCATTGTGGTCTGAGGCCAGTTCGGTCATCCACGGCGGTGTAGAGGGAAACTGTACCTCGGGTGTAAAATGTTCCCCTAAATTTAGATCTTCTGGCTACCTTTCTACAAAGTGATCTTATTACTATGGCTGTGGTAAGTCCATGCAAACAGGCGTGTTATACCGTGTTCAAGTACGACGACATCTGCAAAGTTGCAGTTATAAAATGCGGTGTATTAACGGGAGACGTCGAGAGGTCGTGTAAATAAAGCAGAGCAGTACACATTTCATTTTGATTGATACGTTTAATGCAGACGTTGTGCTTTTGACATATGCAGAAAGGGAATTCCAAAGAGAGGAAGTTAGGTCACATGTTACTTTCGATCTTCCAGCCTTTTAGTATGACTCGAGACTTCCTATAAATACTGTTTTTTAGCTAAAAAGAGTGAGTGAGTGAGTGAGTATGGTTTTACGCCTTTTTTAGCAATATTCCAGCAATATCACGGCGCAGGACACCAGAAATGGGCTTCACACATATTACCCATGTCGGGAATCGAACCCGGGTCTTCGGCGTGACGAGCGAACGCTTTTACCACTAGGCTACCCGACCGCCCCTAGCTAAAAAGAAGAACAGTATATATCGTTGTAGGACGAATAAATGAACATTCTTCAAGTTGATGGATGCAACATAGTTGAATCCACAGTGATTCATTTTGTAAATACATCTGTTTAAATTTGAAGTATAGTACATGTAGCTATACGTTGACCCTCTAAATATATGATATATACGTCAATGATGTCAATCACAGGATTGTCTGGTTCAGACTCGATTATTTACAGACCGCCGTCATATAGCTGAGTGCGGCGTTAAACAACAAACCAACTACTGTAACTACAGGTAGCACCCGCAAGTCACACAATTTGCATAAAATGTAAGTGCTTGTTTGTTGCCGGACTCCACATAGCCGTCTTCCTGAAAAAAACACGGGATTCATGCGATGGCACACAACTCCCTACATTTGGTATCGCCATGGAAATCGTCATGGTAGAATGGTGATGAATTGTGTTTTGCACTCTGTGCGGCGTTTTTGAATGACTTTCTTTAACTTTTGAGACATAATATTGTTCATTTTAAAATCAATTTAAAGAATTATACCATTGTAAATTACCTATATGAGTGTTCAAAAACTATTTCTGATATCACGCAGTGAGTGAATGTTGTTCTGCGCTACAGTCTGCTATAGTCCAGCTGTATCACGTGATCGATCCATCAATCGAGTCTGGACCAGTGATCGATAGCATGAGTATCAAGGTACGACGTGAGCACTTGATCATACGTTATCAACCCAGTTACGGAGCCTGGCCATCTGATCCCCTTTTGAGCCGGCTCTTGAGATAGTCATTACAGGAACCAGGGATCAGGATTCAGGGGACGCAATTACATTGGTAAGGATGACTTGAGTGCGTTGGGTTTAACACAGCTTTTAACAGTATTCATTTCTATCATGGCGTGTCAACTTCATTTCGGTGGAAAGCCCGTAAGTGATTCAGGTCACTTTGGAAATCAACGAGCTTGCGTATGTTGCTGACAATCCCAGATCTGAGATTCCAACCTACAAACGAAGGATTCTGGCAGGCCTTGATGCAACTGTATGCAGAACAAAATCGGGCGCCTTTGACAACTGTGACCCCTAGTCCTGAATGAGTGAATAAATGAGATTTCGTTTAACGCCGCTTTGAACAATATTTCAGTAATATCAGGGCGTGTCAGTTTAATGTCGGAGTGAAGCTCTGTTGAAGTCATGCAGGTCTTAGACGTTTACCACTTTGATGTTTTTCAAAGAAAGAAAATGATAGCTGTACATGCTGGATGTCCTGAAATAAATGCCTCGCCTTTGCATGTGTATGTGATGGGGGCCACCGGTGGGGCAGGATACGCTCCCATTTCCAGGACACCTGGTATCATCACTTTCTGATAGTGACTCAGACACATGCTTATATTTTAGTCGGCAGAGTGGACTCTGCATGTTTTGTGGAGTGTTCTTTTGATTATGGATATGGTTTTGTAGCTTTAAGCTTTGAAATAAAAACATCGTCGGTTCCTGCCAAAGAAAGAAATAGCACGTCTTCAAACAGTGACCGAACCTTTATCCAGCACCACTCAAACAGAACACCAAGGTATATGGCAGCTTGAGTTGTATGATCCAGCACCACTCAAGCAGAACACCAAGGTATATGGCAGCTTGGGTTGTATGGTCCAGCACAACTCAAACAGAACACCAAGGTATATGGCAGCTTGGGTTGTATGGTCCAGTACCACTCAAACAGAACACCAAGGTATATGGCAGCTTGGGTTGTATGGTCCAGCACAACTCAAACAGAACACCAAGGTATACGGCAGCTTGGGTTGTATGGTCCAGCATCACTCAGAACATCAAGGTATATGGCAGCTTGGGTTGTATAGTCCAGTACCACTCAAACAGAACACCAAGGTATATGGCAGCTTGGGTTGTATGGTCCAGTACCACTCAAACAGAACACCAAGGTATATGGCAGCTTGGGTTGTATGGTCCAGCACCACTCAGAACACCAAGGTATATGGCAGCTTGGGTTGAATAGTCCAGTACCACTCAAACAGAACACCAAGGTATATGGCAGCTTGGGTTGTATAGTCCAGTACCACTCAAACAGAACACCAAAGTATATGGCAGCTTGGGTTGTATGGTCCAGCACCACTCAAACAGAACACCAAGGTATATGGCAGCTTGGGTTGTATGGTCCAGCACCACTCAAACAGAACACCAAGGTACATGGCAGCTTGGGTTGTATGGTCCAGCACCACTCAAACAGAACACCAAGGTATATGGCAGCTTGGGTTGTATGCTCCCTTGGGAGGGAGAATGAAACTGGAGTGCGCACTATACCATTGACCGGGGTAATAATGTAGCGCTTTAAGCACGCTTTAGGGTGTGGAGTTGACGCCTTATTATGATGTACAATATTAAAATATTCAATGATATAACATGGCCGTTTCATGGCCTGATTCTTCTAGGTATCATGTACCTCATTCAGAAGTAAAAGGCGATTATACTTGTCGTAAAAGGCGACCAACGGGATCGGGTGGTCAGACTCGCTAACTTGGTTGATACATGTCATCGATCCCAATTGCACGGATCGATGCTCATGATGTCAATCACTGGATTGTCTCGTCCAGAATCGATTAATTACAGACCGCCGTCATACAGCTGGAATATTGCTGAGTGCAGCGTAAAACAACAGACCAACACCATTCAGAAATATCAGCTGCGTCGTCTTGAGGGCATTTCATTTCTAAGTTTATTACATTAGATTACTAAAAGCAATGGTATTATTTAAGAAATAAACCCATGTTTTCATATACAGTCAAGTCTCGCTAATCCGACAATCGGCTTTATTGACACTTATGATAGGAACCGATTACATCAGTGCTATTTAGACCCGTTAATGTAGATCGGTGTTACGTGTATTATTTATATTTAATATTTGAATCCCAACGCACTGGTGTGTTGTGTCAAACGTTACATTTCTCGTTAGTATATCGGGAAATAATAACAGAGAAACAAACATGGGTTAATTCACAAGAATAGAGCTGCACCAATGATAAAGGTGACGCAGCGCATATACTACTAATAAACAGCGTACAGAAGGGCTTCTCTGCAGCGCCAGTCACATTTGGTTCAGCCTTGTTATTGACTGATAGGTATCACGTGGGAGACCTTGCGAACACACATAGCAGTGACGTCACGGTTAGTAGCCCATTAGTGAATGAAGACGGGTCGTTTTGAGTGTTAAATTAGAACTACTTCTTTAAAAAGAAATATATCTTTCTAGGAACAAGCAAAATGTACAGTGTCATTGAAAATATGATTATGGAGCGAGTGAGCAAATACTTTTTACTGCTGCTAGTCCTATCATAGTAATACATGATATGGAACGATGAAATGGCTTTACACATTCCGACCATTTTGTGAATCGAACCCAGGTCTTATAATCACCCTATCAGTTAGTTCGTTGTGACGTCATCGGCTATTAACAAAAACGGAATAAACAATAGTCAAATCAAATTCAAAACGCCAGAGAACCTGTGTCTTCAACCTGCCGGCTGAGACGTGTACGAGAGTAGTACGCGGATATAGAAACATTGTGACATGTCTTTGCTTATAGGAGAAAACACATCCACACGTTTTTGAAGTACACGTATCTAAAGAATGTTAAGTACTGTTACTTATTCATGTATAAAACTGTATGCCTCCATAGATAAGTGTGAATTTTGAGTTATTTACGCACAGTGGAATCTTTTTCGCGAGATACTTGAGGCTGATTATTCTCAGGCGATCACGTTTTATATTTACAAGTCCACCTATCGCGCGCGCACACACACACGCACACACACACACACACACACACACACACACACACACACACACACACACACACACACACACACACACACACACACACACACACACACACACACACACACACACACACACACACACACACACACACACATATAAATATACGCACGTGCACATACACACACACATATATATACACACACAGATACCCATATATATATATATACACACACACATACACACACAAACACACATATAAATATACACACACACTTATATATATATATATATATATATATACACGTGCACACACACACATATATATATATATACAGACACATACATATATATACACACATACACACACATATACACACACAGTCATATATATATATATATACGTGCGCGCACACACACACACACACACACACACACACACACACACACACACACACACACACACACACACACACACACACACACACACAACAATTCTTGCTGACTTGTAGGTGCAGCAGCTCATCAGTGTTCTCGAAGCACGTTGACAGAGGTTCGTGGATCCTTACATCCCATGTTCAGTTGCTACACAAGAAGGACTGTATGACACCCTCCTTAAGACAAACATACACCCGCCCTCTCACATCAACATATATTCCACGTGGGTTCTGAATACCATCTTGGGATGTCAGTAGATGTTTTACAAACTGTCCTGATTCCGTCAGATGGATGACTCTGTGTAGAAAGTAGTCTGTCACCAGGATGTCACCTGTGCTGGTGCTTGTGATACCATGGGGACAATTCAGTGCTGTGTCTCCTGTAGGGCTGTAGGTGAAAACTACATCTCCCTCGGGGGTCAGACACGCGACACGCTTGGTTCCACCGTCAGACACCAGGATGTTTCCTGTCCTCGTGGTACAGAGGAATTCGGGATATTGTAAGATGTTGCTACCATTTTGGAGTGGACTGATTGACCTCAGCACGTTTCCCGTCATATCTAGGATATCAACACAGGGAGGAGACCGGGAACAAGCTGCTAGTGTTGATGGTGTCAGGGACGTTATGCCCACGTACTGTTTGCTGGTTGTGATTGTTGACAGCAGCACCAGGTCAGGGTTGACTTCTACTGTTACAATCTGATTGGCATCTTGAGCAGTGACAGCCACCTGATTGTGTGTCAACTTCGTAATACCCAAGGGAGATCCACGAAGCAGGAGCTTATTGTGACCTTGTTGATTGTTCCTGGTGTAGAAGGACTTCATATTGTGATTAAAATAATCTGTGACTACAACCGTGTCAATACCATTAACAACCATCTCGGTCACATCAAATGGCGCTTCGTTAGATCCCTCGCCGGCTACTTTGACGTTAATGGTGTCCTGTAACACAGGAGTAGCCGTCAGGTCCATCACACCCTCATACATGACCTCTATCTCACCCAGCTGTAGATCGTCCAGTTTTCTACTCAGCTTGTCCGTGTCCTGTCTGAATGTGACCCTGGCTATTCTTCCTGTCTTCTTCAGTTCTGCGTCTGCATCATCTGCCTCACATCCCTGATACATCTCATAGACATCCATGTCACTGTCTGATTGTAGGGTCTGGTCTATCAGCTCAGCCTGTTGTTGGTACATTTGTACTGACATCTCCCCTGCCTTAATGTCTGCTTTCAGTTGTCCAAGGTGTTCGTCTGACATCTCTCTCAGTTGATCAAGAAGATCCTTTTCTCGGAGTTTAATCCGTTCTATCGCTTTAACCGTTGCAGAGTTAATATCTGATTCCATTTGTTTAAATCGACAAGTTTCGTCCTCCAGCTTTGACTTCTTTGTCTCAATCTCTTTGCTGATTTCGTCTTTTCTCCGTGACAAATTGCCCGTCGCCCGCGTCAGTACTGCTTTCATTGCCCGTATCTCCACTCCCAAGCTGACAACAGACTCACATTTCCTGTGGTAGATTGTACAACAGGTTTGACAAAGTGCTTTCTTGCAATCTTTACACAACAACTTGATGCTTTCATCCGTGTGTTCTTTACACATGACCGCTCGTCTTCGTTTGACCTTGACCTCCCCAGAAAGGTCAGTGAGGTCATGATGACGGGTAGCTGGGATGCGATTGTGAACTCTGACGCATTTTCCACACAGTGCATCATCACACACATAGCACCAAACATAGGCAGGAGTTGTCTCCCCTTCTTGAATACAATAGCTGCAGTTGGTTGTATCTGAAAGATGAAGTTATACCTTAAGAGTGTTTAACACGCAATACACTGATGTACCAATGACTGATTGTACAAAGTAACTAAATACAAATAATATTTGAAATCATAGCTGCCAAAAACTAATATTTCTATGGTGCTTTGAATTCCAGATTACTGTTTAGAACCTCACACGCTGATATTTGGAGTCAATAATTGAAATCTTAGCTGCCAACAAACAACTCATATTTCTTGGATGCTATTTAGTCAATGTGTTTGGTTGTGTTGTCAAATAAAGCGCCTACAGAAACTGTATGACATTTGTGAAACAGTATCATACGATCATATGATACGCAAGTATTTTACACGTGTCTACCTTTAGATCCTGGACCAAATGAGTCCAAGAGTCCCTGGATGACAAAGCTAGGTTTGACGTCATCCGCCCACTTTTCCACTGGTCTCTCAGGGGCAGACACTTTCGTCATCTTGTTGCAGAATGGACAGAGGAGGGACTTGGCACTGATGGCTTCTGGTCTGGTCTTGGTGTAGTTGACGACACATTTCCGACAGAAGGTGTGGTTACACACAAGTGTACAGGGATTAGTGAAGACATCAGAGCATATGACACAGGTTAAGTAATGTTCAGTGAGTTTCTGAGAGGTCGCCATCTGAAAGAGGACAAGAAGCATTGAAGTCCTCATCACTACATCCCGTGCATAAAACATGGCTATCTCAAAATAAACTATGGACATTTCAATCCTGAAAATACCGACCAGTTCATTGAACGAGTCAATCGGTTAATTATGAAAACAATCGTAAATGAAAAACCTTCGATGTTTTGAACTTTTAGGAAATAGGTTTTCTATTGGAGAAAATGAGATTCATGATTACCCAATCTAAAGTCGACTAGGTATGATGATATCCACAATTCAAACTTGACTGTTAAAGGGAAGACGGGTTGCCTGGTTGTGTTAGGCGCTGCAATTCGCCGTGCAGAATTGCATCCATTAGTCTTTGCAGTACCTACGATCGTAGGAATCCCATAATGGCCCTAATTAAATACCACCATGACATTGGAAAATCCTGCATTGTGATTGGTTTCCTAGCGGTATCCAAAAAAAGTAAGAAAATATTAATTGAAAGCACTCCTTTTCAAACACTCAAATTTCAAACACGCTTGTCTTTTGTTTTTTAACGCCAGCGACAGCAACATATGACTATATCCCATCCACCTACAATCCCAGATTTGTCCTGATACCGTAACCATGCTCGTGAGTTTCGCTTCTTTGCTTTTGAAAAATATAAATACAGATAAATATCTCTACTAATCATAAACTGTTTCATATATTTGATTAAAGTGAACACACAAAACGTATATAATGCCTCCTGCCATGACATTGTATTATTGTATTATCTGCATGCTTATTGGTTCCCCGTCAGTATCGAAAAGAGCAAGAAAATAGCAGAAACACGCTTTTGTTAATTCTTTTTCAACGTCAGTCGGCACAATATTCGAACTGTATCCAGGAGACCCGTATGAGCAATGCCCTACGTCGTCTGGACACGATGCCATGCAGTCAGCCCAGACACTTAGTCTGACCACCCAACCCACTTTGTCACCTTACTGCATCCCGGAATCACCATTGGGTTCCGGGCACATAACAATCATTGCTCACTAACTTATTGTCAGAACTGATTGGGAAATCGCTGATACCAAGGGAGATACCACTTGCTGCTGGTTTCAGAATTGACCAACAGGCAGAGAACGTCTTGTTTAGGCTGGACCTGGATACCACTATCTTGACGACAGCTTCGGTAGTACCCGGACCCGGTCGGCAGTACCCGGACACGGCCAGCTGTACCCGGACACGTTCGGCTGTACCCGGGCACGGTCGGTAGTACCCGGACACGGTCGGCTGTATCCGAATCCGGTCGGCTGTACCCGGGCACGGTCAGCTGTACCCGGACACGGTCGGTAGTACCCGGACACGGTCGGCTGTCCCCGGACACGGTCGGTAGTAGCCGGAGACGGTCGGCTGTACCCGGACACGGTCGGTAGTACCCGGACACGGACGGCTGTACTCGGACACGATCGACCTGTATCCGGACACGATCGACACGACACAGTTTTTTCATATTCTTTTTCAGGTACATCGATCGAAAAGATAAGGCACACAATAAATGTGAACGATTTCTAAAATAGATTGTCTGATGTCACTCACAGCAAGCCGTAAATCTATTTTTATATTAAAAACGTAGAACTAACACCACAGATTATCTCCATCAACTCTGCGCCCTGCAGACTCTCAATACGTTCTTGAACAGTATGCTTCTTGGCAAACACAATAAAACCAGTCCAGCTTAGGACCACCGACTCTAGTTGGGTATAAAATGCAGTTATTAGTTTGTTGTCCCTAAACACTGGTAAAAAAAACTTGGCCAACTGCTTTGGTACCCAACCGACGAATGCATGCACCAGCAATATCTGGAACTAATTTGGTGGTGGACGCTCCCCCACGTCTACACCATGTCTGTGTATCCGCTAATTCTAGCATTCTGTTCTTGGGTTAAAAATCTGCAAGGCCATAAATGGAAGTGGTCTCACGTACAAAATATGATACCGATTGAAAGAAGAACATATACAAGTACTTAAGTTAACAATAACGAGTAGTGTTATAGCCAAATCTCGGACACAACATACATATGTTACAGTATAATCCTGTTAAGGCAGCTTATATCAATGTAAAATGCAACTTTATGATAGTAATCTGTGCATTATGGATACTAGTACATGTGTATTTATGTAATTGACACATGACTAACACTATAATGTCGGACTTGTATGACCAATTGACATAGTTTATCCTCTTCAGATATCATTGAGACCCGTGAAGATCCGGGGTAGAATAGGTCTTCAGCAACCCATGCTTGTCGTAAAAGTCGACTAATGGGATCGGGTGGTCAGGCTCGCCGTGATATAGCTGTAATATTGCTGAGTGCGGCGTTAAACAACAAACAGACAAAAACACATAATGGAGGGAAGGCCTTTGTGATATTCCTTTGGCACTTTTGGTTTATACTTTTCGCTGCAACTACCGCTTTTTGATTATTATTGTAAAATATATCAAATATATTTAAATAAATAGAACTCCTTTAAGAGATATAAGAAAAAATCCACATAATTACACCTATTTACATTAAAAAAACGAAAATCTACTTTGATATATGAATAGGTTGTATGTAGACATCTAAATAAAATTATTTGTCACCATATGTGCAAATATATAGATTTCATTTCATGTTATTTAATTATTTTTGAGGGGTGGTGTTGAATGCTCAGTTATTAAAAAATATATAACGTTACTATAGAACTTTTGGTTGTATTTAACCAGTGATAATGTAGGGTGGCGTGGCAGTAGGAAAGCTGATACTGAACCGTTTGTTTTGACAGTTTCCTCCAGCAGACGTATTTTTAAATGGAGTTTGCAGAAAGAGGATTATGCATGCGTGTTAATTTTGTGTATTGGCAGTTTACCTTTTCAGCTACAAACAAATGTTTGATGAGTGTCTGATTACTGCCGATGTCCAGATACTACCGAACTCTCTACATTGAGATATAGATTGTGCAAAACATTCATCGGCTAAGGCGACAAGGCCAAGTGTCCAAAGTCCAAGTGTGGTATGAACTGTGTTTACTGGATGCATACACCACGTCAACGACAACAGCTCCGATTCGTTAAAAGTCTTTTCAATCAAACACATCTTGGGAAATTTAAAAAGCATTTTGACTAGACTGGCTTGCTAAAGGGAGAACTGAGAACGCCAGAACACGATATCATTATCATAACGAAAGTAGGGCATATATATCTAACTTCCGGGTTGGCAACCAAGAACCAATACAGAACACAATCAGGTTAATTACAGTGTAATTACAACAGTACGTAAAGTTTTCACAAAAAAGCAGTTCATGACAGTATATATACATTTCCACGAAAACTCGGATATCGTGTTGTAATCTGAACAGTGAATAGCGCGATAGAATGACCCAGTTCATAACGAAAGATAGCACACGAAATAATGGAAACTTTGAAATCACAAACCAGGGAATTCCTGACAGAAGGCAACACGTGTACCCTTCGAGACTGTTTGTCAGGTACTTCCTGGCCCAAGAAATTCTGAAATCAATACACGTCCTTCGGGGGTATGACATACTCATCTCCGAGTTTCCCAGCAAACATACACCTACCTTGCAGTTGGCCTCAGACCACAGTTACGCCCCCACCCGTTTTACCCGGAAGGCAAATAGGAGAATATAGTGCCCAATGTAAACTGGCTGTTCAGCCTCTACCAAGGTTTTAGAGTGACCTCTGATAGCCCAAATGAAAGATTAGACATTGTATTATGTTGCATTTTTTATCCACAATCTGTACATGGTGTTGACACCAGCTTCCCATGATTTGATCCCAAGTTCAAGGCCGTTGTGTGTGTTTCGGCTGATAACTTCCTGTGACCATTGTTGATAGTGGTTACTGCGAAATCAATATGGTGGATCTAAGCCGATACTTTGCGGTTTAAGATAGATATTCTGTATTTTCTTCAACTGAATAAAGATAACAATATGCAGATATATTTATGTTACATGTTTAACGTGAATTGGGGGTATATTTACACATGTTCATAAACATACAAGTTCTTAGCAGGTATCGCCATTTCCTTATGGAGCGGCTTACATTAATTATTACTTCTGCCTACACATCTCTTTCAAGTTCCATAATACATTCTATTGGACATCCACCAAGTAAGAACGCAAGAATAACATCATCATCTTTCTCCCAGATCTTTACATCCAGGATATGACATATGGTGTTCAAAAAGTAAATTTCGAACATTCATATTGATGGTACAAGACATAAACACGTGCTTTACAATATCATTGGCAACAGTTTTACAATAGCATTCTCTAGAGACAGTTTCAGCTGATCCGTAGAACACAAGTCTTGCAATATTAGTTAAATTGTCATACTTCTCCACGGCTAGTTTCCAGAGATAGTGTTTATTACTTGATCTTATACTAACATATCTTGACAGACTGAGTCTTGAATTAAGGTGGACTTAAAATACACCATCTCGATGAGATTTAAAAGTATAATTCACTGCCTTGGACCAGCATTTCTTATTAATAAATTAACAATTATTGACGTACAGTAAACTACGGTTATAACGAACACGCTTATAACGAACTTACGGATATAACGAACTTACTTTTTGGTCCCGACTAGTTGCTGTAGTTATGCTGTATATATGCTTATAACGAACTACGGTTATAACGAACTAAAATTAGTAGTCCCTTTGAGTTCGTTATAACCGTACTTTACTGTAGTTAACAATTGTATCATTTAGGTTATACTTCTATTCATGCTGTAGCATGTTATATTTCGGAGAATTTCTACTCCATACATTGCATGTAAAACTATCTGTGCAGATAAATTGACCCAGGGGAACTAAACTAGTGTCCAAAAGAAACGATACCACCTGTTGGCAACGACATAAAAGAAAAACTAAACAATGCAGAAGTTTAGGATTGGTGTTATGCTTTTGAGAAATCCTTTCAAAACATCTGTACAAAAATTTCATTTCAATAAAATCTGTACAACTAATATGACAAGCCTTCAAAGATGGGTGGGGTCGAAAAATGAACATTTCGTTAGAGCACTGATCACAGAAACAACGGAAAATGTCACACCTCACGTCTCAAAGTCAAGTCAGTAGCGGGTATGTCCACCGTGAGCATCAATACATGCCAGAACACGCCTACGGACTGATTACGTCAAACGTCTGATGACGTTGGGGGTGATGCGTTGCCATTCCTCGAGGAGACATCGTTCCAAGTCCTGGACGTTGACTGGAGGCACACGGCGACGTCGGTATGCCGATCGAGGTGGTCCCATAAGTGCTCGATGGGATTCATGTCCGGTGAACATGCGGGCCGCGGCAAAACCTGTACGTTGGCGTTGGCAAGGAAGTTCTGTGTCAATCTTGCTGTGTGTGGCCTTGCATTGTCATGTTGGAAAAGAAGTCCACGAGGCTGTTGCTGAATAAAGGGCACCACAACAGGCCGTAGGATGTCATCAAGATAACGCTGTGCATTCAGGTTTCCACGAATTACGACAAGCATCGTTTTGACGTCACCACATATGCCATCCCAAACCATTAACCCTCCACCTCCAAACGGCCGGACCTGTTGGATACAGTTAGGCGCCAAACGTTCACCAAATCGTCGGTATACAAGCTGCCGCCCATCGTTTCTGAAGATGAGGAATCTGCTCTCATCAGAGAACATAACACGTGCCCAGTCCCGCCGTTGCCAACGTCGAACTCGCCTGGCCCAGATCAGTCTGTTGTTCCGGTGTCGAGGCGTCAGGAGCGGTCCGCGGTAGGGATGACGTGGCCGGATACCATACTGCCGTAGTCTCCTGTAGACGGTATGTCGACTGATCCTGTGTCCCAGTGCTGTAGCCGCCGTGGACGTCGCTGTTACGGTGCGGTTCCTCAGGTGTAATACCCGGATGTAACGATCTTCACGGGGCGTGGTTACTCGTGGTCTTCCACTCCTGGGCCTGTCTGACGTCTGACCTGTCTGACGTAACCGCTGCATCAACCTGGTGATAGTGATGCGTGCGCAGCCCAACCTTCTGGCGACGTCGACGTGTGACGCTCCTTGTTGGACCATTCCAACGGCTCTCTCTCTCTCTCGATTGCTGTCAAACGTGGCATATCTTGTGTTCTTTGTGTTGCTGTGATATCAACGTGTCTGATCAGCCGTTTTATAAGTTTTTCTGCACGTGCAGAACATGCTAGAGAGGGAAATGCCACTTTCACGAAATTCACGTGTTCCCGGTATTTTTTATCGACTATGCTGTGTTTGGGATGTGCAATACGAATTGGCATGTTTTCATACTTGACAATTCACTTAGTAAAAAACAATTTTGAAAATAAGTTGGTATCGTTTCTTTTGGACACTAGTTTAGAAACAATACTTTTAAAACACAGTTACACTGTGCATTAGATAGCTTTCCTAAGAAGTAGAGTGCTCTTTTATCTATGTAATACTGTAGTGGCATGATGCCGATAGCATCCAATACAACAATACTGGGAGTGCGCCTGTGTTGCCCCTGAACGTTTTTACAAAATTGACGTACAACTTCAAGCATTTCATAGAGGCCACATGATACGATTTCCCCCTCCGAGATACGTGCTGCAGATATAGGATGGAGACCACCAAAATACAACCCATTATTATGATTAGTGTTGATGAGTACACGCAACTCTTCACATGCAGATTTTGTACGTTCAAGAGATGATATACACCTGCATATTCAATAGATTTCCTTTATGCAACATGCATATCACCAATTGATACATAAGTGGTTTGAACCTTATTGTTTCAGCATCCAAAGTACAGAACTGCACTCCTGCTTACATTATATTTAAGCTGCCACCTATCAGCATAGTTTTGAACGACATCAAGAAGATTTTGCAGGCCTTTATAAGAGACAGTCAACAAAGTAGTGTCGTCAGCATTCATTATGGTGGGCCGTCATGTCGCTGTAGATAGCAAATCATTGTGGTCTGAGGCCAGTTCGGTCATCCACGGCGGTGTAGAGGGAAACTGTACTTCTGGTGTCAAATGTTCTCATTAATTTAGATCTTCTGGTTACCTTTCTACAAAGTGATCTTATTACTATGGCTGTGGTAAGTCCATGCAAACATGCGTGTTATACCGTGATCAAGAACGACGACATCTGCCAAGTGGCAGTTATAAAATGCGGTGTATTAACGGGAGACGTCGAGAGGCCGTGTAAATAAAGCAGAGTAGTACACAGCATTTGATTAATTTAATTTAATTAATTGATACGTTTAATGCATACGTTGTGCTTTTGACATATGCAGTAAGGGAATTCCAAAGAGAGGAAGTTAGGTCACGAGTTACTTTCGATCTTCCAGCCTTTTAGTATGACTCGATGACTTCCTATAAATACTGTTTTTTAGCTAAAAAGAAGATCAGTACATATCGTTGTAGGACGAATAAATGAACATTCTTCAAGTTGATGGATGCAACATAGTTGAATCCACAGTGATTCATTTTGTAAATACATGTTTTTAGTTTTGAAGTATAGTACATGTAGCTATACATTGACTCACTAAATATATGATATATACGTCAATGATGTCAATCACTGGATTGTCTAATCCAGACTCGATTATTTACAGACCGCCGTCATATTGCTGAGTGCAGCGTTAAACAACAAACCAACTACTATAACTACAGGTAGCACCCGCAAATCACACAATTTGCATAAAATGTAAGTGCTTGTTTGTTGCCGGACTCCACATAGCCGTCTTCCTGAAAAAAACACGGGATTCATCCGATGGCACACAACTCCTTGCATTTGGTATCGCCACGGAAATCGTCATGGTAGAATGGTGATGAATTGTGTTTTGCACTTTGTGCAGCATTATTTGAATGACTTTCTTAACTTTTGCGATATAATTTTGTTCATTTTAAAATCAATTTAAAGAATTATATCATTTTAAATTACCTATATGAGTGTTCAAAAATATTTCTGATACCACGCAGTGAGTGAATGTTGTTCTGCGCTAGTCTGCTATAGTCCAGCTGTATCACGTGATCGATCCATCAATCGAGTCTGGACCAGTGATCGACAGCATGAGTATCAAGGTGCGACGTGAGGCCTTGATCACATGTCACGGAGCCTGGCTACCTGATCTCCTTTTGAGCCGGCTCTTGAGATAAGCATTACAGGAGCCTGGGATCGGGATTCAGGATAAGCAATTATGATGGTAAGGATGACTTGAGTAAGTGATTCAGGTGACTTTGGAAACCAGCGAGCTTGCGTATGGTGCTGACAAACCCAGAAATATTATAAAGGGCAGATCTGAGATTCCAACCCACAAATGAAGGATTTTGGCAGGCCTTGATGCAACTGTATGCAGAAGAAAATCGGGCGCCTTTGACAACTGTGACCCCTAGTCCTGAATGAGTGAATTCATGAGATTTCGTTTAACGCTGCTTTGAACAATATTTCAGTAATATCAGGGCGTGTCAGTTTAATGTCGGAGTGAAGCTCTATTGAAGTCATGCAGGTCTTAGACGTTTACCACTTTGATGTTTTTCAAAGAAAGAAATGCTGGATGTCCTGAAATAAATGCCTCGCCTTTGCATGTGTATGTGACGGGGGCCACCGGTGGGGCTGGATACACTTCCATTTCCGGAACACCTGGTATCATCACTTTCTGAGGGTGACTCAGACACATGCTTACAGTTTAGTCGGCAGAGTGGACTCTGCATGTTTTGT